TGTGTCTGTCAGTGTGTGAATGTGTCTTGTTTGCACTCCACAGCGCTATGGCATATGACCATGAGTGTGTGTGTGTGTGTGTGTGTGTAATGGCGTCATGGCTCTGCTGTCAGCCGGTCATTGTGCAGTTGTGTTAATATGCTGAAGTACTGGTTGCCAAAACAGCCCAGGAGGTGTCACTTTGGAAGGACACAAGGGGAGGCGACAGTGTGTGTACTTTGTAGTGTCATTCACGGGACGTCAGCAGTGCGACGCCACTAATCACAGCTGTGGCTTTCATCCTGTGAAATGCACTTTCAAGCTATTCCAGAAAGCTGGTTTAATTTTCAGATGAAGCTAGCACAGAGAACTTGTTGTTCTGCGTGTTCCTGGCTGCGTCCGCGTCCTCATCCGGGATGATATATAGTCTGTGTACACTCAATCCAGACCTGGATGTGCCACACCGAAATTGCTCCCTGAAAAACCTCGTTGAGAAGCTGGTGTGCCTCAGGATTGGAGTCTCTGGTCTAATAGAGATCGCTGACAGGTTTTAAGGGATGAAAAATCAGGCTGATATAAAAAAAGCTGAAGAAATGGCCACATGAGCAGCAGGGAATAAAATAACATCATTATTCATCCACCCAGGCCAACACTTTATTGTTAATTTTTTCATAGAAATAAACAGGGCAGAAACAGCAAAATCCCTCTCAGAATTCAGTCCATAACCAATACTTTTGAACGAGGCAAAAGCTGCAGACTTTTGCAGATTAAATATTTTAATGTGCGTGGTGGATGACGGATGAAATGTCAGTAAAAAAAGAAAGCCTATTTTGACACGGAACATAGATTTTTGCACCACAGGTTCATATTTCTATAAACCATAAATCTAGAAACAAAACCGAGGCGGTGCTGATGCTTCAGTCTGGTAAACATTTAGAGTTGGTGGAACCCCCACCAAAATGACTGTCAATCAAACAAATGGTTAATTGTTTTAGGCTTTGTGTTGTATTGTTATTCTTCTGTTTCTGTAAGACTTTTTAAACCAATCTCTGGTCGGAGGCTGGCTCTGTGTTCACCAACAGCCAACTCCATTCCCATCCCAGAGATAGGGATGATTTGGGAAGTCAGCCTGAAGATTGCTCAGTAATTAACGTTCCTGCTGGTTGGCAGATCCAATCATCAGTTGTTGCTGCACACACACACACACACACACAGTTTCCAGAAATTGAACTGTTGTCCAGTAACTGAATAAAATTGTTTTCTTTGTCTAATTGTATTCATTCATGGACTAATTCAGGTCCATGCATTAATTCCCAACACTGATGGTTCTGATCTTTTAAAAACTTCCTCTATGCGATGTATTTAAAATCCCTTTCTTCTCTGTATTCTGCTGTTCTGGGATCACATTCACATTATCTCTCCTCAACTTATCTCATTCCCTCACCTCTCATACAGTCAGCCTTAACCACTTATCTCTCTTCTCATTAATTATCCTTTTTTAATTATACATTTTGAAAAAACATTTCTTCTCTTCAACAACGGTTGTCTTTCTTAATCCATAACTCCCATGTTCCCTGGGTGGGCAGACACAGCTCTTTGTTTCAAGGTTACTGTGAGCATCTGGAACTGTTGCTGTGATATGTGAAGCAATTTATTCACAGGCGGGAGGCGTGAGAAGACCGGACCGGGGTCCTCTGGTGCCTCCAGACGCCGTGCCCAACGACCCTGTCAAGGTTGCTGCCTGTTGTTTATGGACATGTTCACAGCATCTGTGTACTTTAGAGTCCGCTGGGACTCAAGTTTGAGGTTGACGCTCTTGACATTTATTTAATTCAAACAGAGATCAAAATATAGCAGCTGGAGAGGCAGATGAATGGCATTCAGGTAAAATCAGAAGCCAAATTAGTCTGTGTGTGTGAGGACAGGTATATACAGTATACAGGTATATGAGGGCTATTATTAGAATAAAAAAATTCAATTTAAATGGTTTTTCACACCATCCCAATTTGAGTTCATTATTTCAGCCTCCATATACAGTATATATATATATATACATATATACAGTATATACATACTATATATAATCCTTTTCAGACATATTCAGAAATCCTGAATATGTATAAAGGGATTATTTAAATGGGTACAAATGAATATGTGTCTAATAGCGGGAGTTGTGTCAGTGAAGTGTCAGTGAAGTGTCAGTGAAGTGTCAGTGAAGTGTCAGTGTGTCTTTGAGTGTGATGTCTGCAGCACGTCCTCACTGATCTATTGATGTTTTTGCAAGTGTGACTCACATTTTTCATCATTTGGTGAGACAGGTCCTCCATCAATCCTGACGCAACCGCTACAGATGCACATCCATGATAGAACACACACACACACATACATACACTTTTCTGAGTGCCTGCTTAGAATCCTCATCATGGACGTTTATTACAGCACTTGAAACTTGAAATTATAGGCAGTATCATTTCCAAATTTCCAGCTGGAGGATTTACTGCTGATGCTACAAGGTTAATGAGAACATTATTGGAAGATTTTCTATGGGATTGATCACAAATGATGTTAGACAAAATGCTGTTCAGAATGCATGTATGATGTAGTATATGGGGTGTGTGCAGGGATAAGGACCAACGTCAGTTACTGGGACGTAGTGGAAATCCACAGCCCATCTGTATCAGAGTGCAGAGGGCATTCACAAACGTGCCAGTGCCTGACAAGTGGAATGAATAGTGTTCAACCTCTGTCATGCCTGACAGATAATTGACCTTCACATGACATGATCAGATTTGACTTAACCAGGATTCTGCAGAGGCACAGAAATCTCCTGAAGATAACAAGTGTAGAACCAAACATGAGTGGGGTGCGATTTTTATAAAATATCCTTTTTCTGTAGCTCCTTCTCCACCCACAGTTTGTCTGAAACTGCCCAATACTAAATACAATTTTAATAAAAAACAAAAACAAAACAAGGTACGTTTTCCTACTTCTCATTAACATGTAAATATATACAGAATAAATGTATGGCACCCAGATATGATTTTGTTCCTCAATAAATGATCCTTTTATTTATTTATGAAACAAATGGTTGCATTTAAAAACATTTTTTCCTGATAATCCCACCTTGTAATTTTCATATTTAACTGTACAATTTCATAATAGCAAGTTTAAAAAAACACAAAAAATGTCAGTGATGGCCTAGTTAGTCTCAATAAATTACCCCTAAAATCCACTCTTGCTTGATAAAAGACGACAGCCTTTTCCATCCGTTGGACAGAAAAAAGATCAAACCCACCTGTACCTGCATAAATACAGGATTTATCTCAGGCTGAGAAACATTAACTTGATTATATAACCACGTCACACACAGTCCCTGTTTGCTTTTCACGCACGAAAAGGAGTCCAATTATCCTGGAAGTCTAAAAATATGGGATGTGCAGCGCAGCAGAGGATTAAATCAATAATATGATGTAATCTAAGGCCAGGCCGCGGTAACGAAGAAAAGACTAATGGAAAAATCAAAGCCTTCGATGTTTGGACTCTGTAACATTACTCATCTGGGCTTTTGAATTGAACCTTATCTTGTCATAGTGCCGTCAAGTAATCGCCATGGCAACAGGTCACCTTGGCCTGGTGAAAATACACTGTAAACTACAGGTGAGCCTTTGAAGGACTGCTGATCTAAGTCAGTGTTTCCCAAAAAAATTTTTTTTTGTGGATCCATATTTTAAGTCACAAACCTTACGACCCAAGTCAATAGACATTATCTGTAAATCACAAAATAAAGGTGTATTTGACTATTATTGAACATTAATGAGGATATTTTATTGTAGACCGAGTGACATCTGAACAATTAGTATTACTCAAATTTTAAACATAAGCACAGGTGGAGATTTTAAACAGGCAGCTATTTTGAGGTTGGATGCAGACCGCTGTTGCCATGTTGGAAACATGATGTGAGACGACACAAAGGCAGCTATTTTGAGGTTGGATGCAGACCGCTGTTGCCATGTTGGAAACATGATGTGAGACGACACAAAAAAATTTCTTGCAACCCACCTGAGGGTCGCGATCCAGGCTTTGGGAAACAATGTTCTAAGTCACTTATAGGTGAATGTCGAAAATAATTACTTACACCTGTGTAGTAACTGACATGACACATGTTTAATCTCAACAACTCTCCCTGGTTTTATAAATATAAATAAATAAATACAATATCCTAAAATATTTTAAATAGTTAAATGCTGTCTCAAATAAAAAGTACCTATATATATACTAAACTATATTTGAGTATTTGTAACGTATTCTACTCCACTACATTTGAAGGACAAAAATGCATACTTCCAACTTTATTTTATTTACTTCACACATTATTATCTTTAAATCATTTCCATTGACGCTGCTGTCATGGTGACATACTCTGCTACATGTCTCTCTTCCAATCAGCCTGATCAGCCACACCTGCCTCCTGTGTGTGTGTTCCCTCCTGGCAGTCTACCCTGCAATCAGACTCATCACTGCCACCTGTTAACCTGTGTATATAAGCACAGGTCTCCCTCTCTGCCTGTTTGCTGTCTGTTCACTGTGCCATGCTTACCTGTGCTCCATGTGTTTTGATTTTGCTGTGTTTTTTTTATGTTGTTTTATATTTGAATGGTCTGGGGTTTGTTTGTTTTTTTAACTGAACTCCAGTGCAAATCCCCAAATAAATGTCAGCGTGAACAAAAGTATATTGGCTGCACTTTAACCACAACAGGATTAAATACTGTTTAGCTAATAAGTGTCGGGGTTAACAGACCCTAGTACTGCACCCAAAACAACACACCTTTTTGAGTGTGAGTGTGAAAAGTGTGAGTGTGAAACACACAGTCAAAAAGTCAAGACATCAGCAAGGGCTTACTGTTTTGAAGATGGTTCACACGATGACTGTTGCAGCCGTGTGTGTGTGTGTGTGTTTGTTTGTGCGCTCCACTCAAAACACACACCCTCCACATGCGTATCACAGTCAGATACTGCTGCAGTTGTTTGTTTCTGAGCGACAGCAGTTCGCAGTAATGATTACAGCACATTGACTGACTATTTTGAAGACGGTTAATTGGTAATAAAAATGTGTATAATGTGTATTACCTTAACTTATTGATTATTGTTCTAGCTGCTCGTACGAAGAGTATTTACCGTGTACTCACTGACAGATACTAAGGCTCACAGACAGACAGCTGCATCTCCGTAGCAGGTTTTGCAACAATCTGAAACGAACGGGAACACTTCCCACAATGTCACACAGGTTCCACGTGTGTGTACATACACTGGAAGCTAAATGTCTCCACAGAGGACACACTCACATACACAAATGCTGGTCCATCCAAAACGGCTCTTTAATTGGTCTAAGTGATTAATTACAGGGTAAAGGAGCCAGGTAATATAGATACTAGAATAGCTTTCAATGACCTCATTTAAATTCAATCATTAAATAGTTAAAAGGAAAGGGGAGAATACCAGGGCTGATAAGGGAATCAACGAAAAGGAGAGAGAGATAAGACTCTTAATTTAGGCCAACAGATGGAGGTTATACAACTATAACAAATATTCCTGTAAATTAGTCATAGATTTACAAAATGTGTACCAGAAATGTAAATATAAAATCAAGTCACCATAGACTCCTATCATATGTAGAATACATAAATATGACACTAACCAGCATCAAATAACACTTTATAACTATATTATTATAGTACTTAGAATACAGAAAGGATCTGTTGTGAGGCCCTGTGTGATTTTGTGCTCTGTCGTAACCTCACATGAGAAGACCCACTGAGGAGGAGCCCAAAGTTCCCAAAGACTTCCGGTCACTGTCATCCTCCAGCAAACTGTGTTCACGTGGACTGCTGTCCCAAAGTCGCCGGTCAACAAATGAAGATGTGAAGCTTTTACCTCCAAAATATTGTAAATGTCTGAAGACGTTACCTGAAATTCAGAAACAGATGTCTCCAAATAATGATTTCATCCTGGAAAAACAGCTGCTTCTCCCCATCTGAACGCAGAATGAACTCGTCATATTATTGGAACAGGAAATCTTGCTACAGAGGCTGCTTTGACTTTGGCTGCTGTATCTAAAGAAACAATTGTTCACTCCTCCACTATTTCTCACCAACAGTAAACAGTTCTAGTACCTGACGACACCAAGACGCCCACCTGTCCACAAAACACACACACGCACACGCAAAGTCCACAGGCCAACGTGGTGGACTCTTGTAAATCTCAGTGCACATTTAAGCACAAATACCACAAAAGCATTGTTGGAGAGCTGTAATTAAAACCTGCCAACTGTTCACACATTACATGAGGATAAAATAGTAACAGTCTTCTGCTTTTACTGCAGAGTACAATAAATAGATCCAACCCTTTTGTGAAATTATCACAACTTTTTTTTGTTTGTTTGTTTCAAGCACAAAGCCACAGAAAACTGTCCTTTGCTTTAAGGTAGATGTTCCCTGTTTACTTCCACGATATCCATCTGAGATTCCCTTGGTTCTCTCTCAGACCTCAGACTCCAGACTGGAAACCCGGCGCCAGGGACGAAGAATGCAGGGGCTCCCTACAGGCTGCCCCATCACTACCTGACAGGGCTGGGTGTCTGACGTAACTGGTGACGCTTGATAGGCACCATAGGCTCCATACACACTGTCTGGGTACAGCATTGCTCGCTGACCCCCACATCGGCCCCCTCCACAAGCCAGCAGATGACACACTGGACTGGGGTTGCCTGAAGCCTGGCTGTGCTGCTGCAGTTCTAAGGGTCCATGGTAGAGGGGTAGTCCTGGGTATGAGTTCAAGTAGTGGGCATACTGTCTACTGACCAAGCTCGTGGCTCTTCGTACCACGCCCCGCCCTAAACCAGTACCATGTCCCACTGCTTCTCCATATGTGGGTAGGTGGGTGGAATGCGAGTAGCGGAGCCTCTGGGCTTTTCGTACACTGGGCTTCTTCTGGTCCTCCCTCAGGTGGAGGTAGGTCTGGTTCCGTGGGAGACACAGGTTGTTTCGTAGGTGAGCAGGGTTGTAGGCCTTGGCAGGAGTCGTTTGTGTGACAACACATGGAAAAAGGTCTGGCAAAGCTGACGGAGACTGACTGGACAGGGATGACTGGGATTCATCAACATGCCGAGTCTGCTCACTGCCCCAAGTGGCTTTAAGAAAAGAGGGGCGCCGCCGCCTGCGTCTCCCTCTCAGCACTAGGTCTTCTGGTGGCCAGGAGCTGTAGTTTTCCACCCGAGGTGAAGCAATAACCTCCCCGGTAAATATGGTGTCGGCGCTGACGGCAGAGATGTGATTGCTCTGAAGGTGGTTGGCCTTCAGCGTGTTCATACATGCAGGACTTTTGTCTCTCTTTTCCTGGTTCCCCTGATTTCTTCTCTCCAAAATCCCATCTTCACAATGGAAGCTCCTGGACCTTCTGTTCTGTTGGTAGAAACCAACTTGGCTCTGTGGCAGTGATACTGGGTGAGAGGTGTAGATGTCAGGAAGTTGGAGATCCGCATAGGGAATGAAGGGAGAGTGAGGATGAGCGTCGACATAAATTCTTCCCGTGGTTTGGTAGTGATGGGGGTGCTGATGAGGGAGGGGATCACCAACAGCCAGGTGTGGACTGCTGAGGCTTGATATGGGAAGGGGCCGGTCATAGAGACAGGAAGTGGAGCGGGCAGGAAGTGTGTAACGCAGAGGTGTGGGCCTAGCCACGCTCCTTTGCTGTTTCAGAGAGGACACGGTGGTGAGAGGTGGGGTAAGGGAGCGCAGTGGGAGGGAGGAGTGGTTCTCAGTGATGTAAGCAAACCCTCCAGGTACAGCTTCAGTGGCAACCTGTGGTACACGTACAGGTATGGTTGCGCCATGGCGACTAAGATGCTCTATAGTCTTGGTGGCGTTGTCCAGGGAACACTCAACATTGGCAGTGGAGACCAGGTCTTTGGCGGTCCGCAGCATCTTCAGCATGTTGGCATGCTGAGCATAACTGGAGGTTAGGTCAGGTTTGCCTAAACCAGATGAATGGCCAGTCTCCTCCACTCCATTGAAACAACTATAAATACCCTGAAAGATGGACGGAATAGAAGACAGAAACAGAAATGTAAGATATGAAATTAGCCAAACATTTGTGATTCAAGATGGAAGTGCTTCACCAGTGATTTCCTAAATGTTTTATTTTGGAAGTAAGTCACGAGAAGTACAGTTTTACATATACATCTTTAAAACAATAATGCTGGACGTTATATATAACAACAAACCAACTTCTTTTCATATCTCACCCTGCTGATGCCCAACAGACAGTCCAGTTTGTTGGACTTGTTGAGAGAGTGTCGTAGTTTCCAGTAGAGCAGGTGTTCCCAGGCAAAGACCAGGAGGCTGAGGCCCATGGCCACCAGCAGCATGTAGAAGACGCCTGCCATGTTGTCAATGTCCAGCTTGCTGCTCATCACCTCATTTTTTTCGTTCTGGCAAATACCTGATAACCAGACTGTCTCCAAGCGCTGGGTGTCTCCTGCAGGAGCAGATGTTAGAGAGGGGACATAAAAACAGTGTTTGTTTTTAAGTTGACAGACACGGAGAATACATTTAAAGAAATATATGACAGTTTTAGTTCAAATATCAAGACTCTATTGCTACGCAACAATAAATTAGCTGTACACGAGCCTAACCTTCTAGTAATAAACAAGAAAAGACGCTAAGTCTGTTAACTAATCACTGCGGAGAATAAGCTAGCTTCAAAAAGCTGTGGATTTTAACAGAAGAGCTATGCTAATGAACATTAATAATCCTTTACAGTTCACAGGTGGTGAGTAAATGGTGGTAATGCCCATTTACGGCTGGGAAATTTAAAAATCAATAAACAGGCACTTTTTGAGAGAGGCTGCAAACTGTGAATGATGCAAATGATTATTGATTTGCAAACTGAAACTGAAAGAATTAGCCTTATCTAAGATCAGAATAAATGCTTGCTGCTAATTTATTTCACTTCCGTTCGACTGAATTCTTTCAGTCACTTTTCCATATCTTTATCTGATATCTGTACTGTCATAGGGCGATGGTTGGTGTTTGTAGCAGCATATTTCCTGCTAAAATGGTCTCAATCTTAAACTTTGAACTACACAAAGTCAACTGTGCCCAATAAGATGACAGTACTGGGGCACTTCTTCATTACCCCACACCACACTCACATAAGCTTCTCCTTGAGGTCTCTGAACAGGTGGCTACCGTCTTGAGCTGGATCCTCCCCAGGGGAGCGGAGTTATCTTAGCACTCCTTTCACCTTATGTCAACCATAAACTCACTCTTTATATGATCATGGAGAGCTCAGAGTGAGTGTGAGGGTCGGTCCTCTACTCTCAGAGGAGAGAGGATATTAACTTCACACCAGTGGCCGTCACGGTGTGTATTCACTCGTATGTGTAGGACGGGCATGTACTGTATGTGTGAGTGTGTCGTACAGATAATCGTGTCCCCAAACCTCTGCAGGATGTTAACTCTTTGCTGTAAGCCCACATCCCTGTTGACACAAACATTCAGGTGGACTGGTGCCAGTTTTTTGGTTCACATACAGGGCAGTGACGCATGAACAAATGCCGAACATAAAGAAAAGTTGTGGAATTTAAACCTCGTCCTTACTCACTGGGACAGTTACCCTGAGTGTTAGACACTGACCTGCCAAAAATGTATGGATGTTAGATTAGGTGGCATCTTTGAAGTGACCGGGGATCTCTGCTAATTTCACTTAGTTGGTCCAAGAATGACTATGCATTTGAATAGTCTGACTATAATCCTTGCAAATACTCTTTGGGACGTTTCGGTTTGGTGGAGGGCTGTGGGGTTTAAAAATATGTGCCATGGCTCAAAAAAGGTTTGGAAACACTGAACTGGTGACACATGACCACATGCCACCAAGGTCTGCAGCATCTATCCAATTACCCTTAACAGGGGCATTTATTAATCCATCCCTACTAATAACATTGGTAAGCAGCGTGACAGTGCATATGTAGCATGCATGAATATGTTTTAATGACATACTGTGTCATCTGCCACCCACCATCTCCGAGGAACTGCAGCAGGGCCAGGTCTATTAGCCTTTTCCAGCGGGAATCCTTCTGCAAAGCAATCCCATATCCTGTGGTGGCGAACACCTTCCCACTGCCAATGGTCACCAACTTACAGCCCTCATCTTTACCAGCCATGTAGTTCAGAACGGCTGCATCATAAATGAAGGCATCCAGCTTCCTGGAAGCAGAGAATTTAAA